AAGGACCATAAACCGAGAAAATTATGGATGCAGTAAATCAGAAACAAAAACAGTAATTGCTGGAAAAGCTCAGCAGGTCTGGCAACATCTGTGGAGAGAAATCAAAGTGACCCTTCCTCAGGATCCTTTTAAGGAGCATCCAGAAATTAGGCTAAGAGGTTTCAGGAGCTAATTCCAGAGCTTCTGGCCTGGACAGCTATAAGAAGAGCAGTGTTTCCTCCTTTGAATTAAACTGGAGATGGGAGGCTTTGTTTAAAAATTGGTGCTGCCCTTTTAGAATGGAGATGAGATATTTCTCTGTCAGCGTTGTCTCAGAGGAATGGAGTTGGGTCACTGAATACTTTTAAGGCAGAGATGAACAGAATCTTGTTTGGTAAGGAAATCGAGAGGTTATATCATGGGAGGAAGGCAATCACTAAATTGTTGTGGTGCAGGAGACCAGTCAGTCCAACGTGCTTTTGCCAGCTCTCTGAGCATTTTGACTAAGTTCCTGCTTTTCCCTAGAACCTTGTACATTTCTTAAAGTGAAATAATTATTCAATGCCTCTTGAATGCCACAGTTGAACCTGCCTCCACCACACTTCTGGGCAGCACATTCCAGACACTAACCATTCACTGTGAAAAGGTTTTCCTCATCTTGTGTTTTGCAAAAGGAGCAAACATTTTAAATGTATTCTTTTTGGCCCTTGCTCCTTTTACATGCAATTTCTCCCTATACAGCCACCCAGATTCCTTGTGATTTTGAAAAGGTCAACCAGATCTCCTCTTCGCCTACTCCATTCCAAGGAAAGCAGTCCCAACTTCTCCCAGTCTTTCCTCATAAGTGAAGGATCTCATCGCTGGAAAAGATCATAAACCTCTTCTGCACAATGTAGATGATCATTATGATCCAACTGAATAGCGGAGCAGATTTGATGGGCTGAATGACCTACTCCCATGTTCCCATTCAGATGTTCAGGGTGAGAATGGCTAAAAGGCTCTAATAGCATTGCTGAACAAGGGGAGAAAGGGGTAGACTGCATTGCAGGCTCAGAAGTATAAGCTCAAATCAGGGCATGTGGCTAGATGAGAATACAACAGATGATGAAGCAAAGTCACGAGGATCTACGGATACCACATACTTTATCAACATGAATTGTTTGGTCTTTTTATTTTCACTATAAAGCAAGTAAACACTGATTAAAAAAGAACAGACTGTGCAAACATTTTGTACCTTGAAGACTTGTAAAACTGCTATTGCGTGGGTTATAGATCGGTGATTCAGATGGCCCCATTCCAGATCTGCCAGCCCCTTGGTCGGATGAGGAAAAGGTGATATTGCTTGGCTGGTTTCTCATCAACTTGGCATATTTCTTCTCCTTCCGATTGACTCCAGACATGGCTTTGCAAAGACGATATAATTAACACACTATCATAACAAAATTTGTACTGAAATATCTGAAAGATCGCTTTACCTGTGGACAAACAGTCATCGGGGAAGAAAATCTACTGCCCCTTTTCAGGAAGTTGGGGGATGGCTTGGGGTTGGGGGCTGCATGATTCAAATTTTATTCCAAAGGGTTCAATTCTTAGAATAATCTGTGAAAGTAGCCTAGCGATTCATTTATTAACTAATGGACTGAAATGTGACAGCCCATCATCACTACCTTTTCAGGGCAATGCAGATGGCGAATAAAGGCTAGAGTTGCAAGCAATGCCCATAGTCCAAGAACAACAACAAAAAAAATCTCAACATATACTAGAACTTACTGTTTGGTATACAGAAAATAAACAAACAGTCTTGTCACATTAGAGATAAGAGGTTGGCCATTGTATTATAGTTCACCATGCAAACAAAAATATTTGAAACTATCCAGTATTGAAATATTTGTACATCTTTAGAATTGTTCTATTCTCTACCACATTATGATTGCAACTCAACATCCTTAAAACAAACTAATGGACATCATGGTGAAGTTAAACACATTTTAAGAATTTTTACTAAAATAATCCAGTAAGATCAAACCATACAAAATAACAAATTGGCTCTCTGCTCTTGCTTTATTCATAGGAACAGGATGAGGCCACTCAGCTGCTCAAAACCTGTACTTCAATATTGAGACCATGGCTGATCACTTTCTATACAGGCCACCAATCATTGTGATGTATTCTGTGGAATTCACATTTACAGTTTTTAATGTTATCGGCTGCTGTGCTCCCAGCTGATGTTAGACTGAACAAGTCAGATCCCAGACAAGAACCTTGCTTCATAGATTTGTATTGGTTTTGGCAAAGTGGCCTCTTAATGATGCATGAGCACAAAATATTACAGATTTTGCTTCAACAAAATGGGAGTTTATTATAACAGGAACAAGGATAAAATTGAATAATCCAAACTATCTAACTAAAAATACAAATTTAAAGATTTTAAATTCACAGTCAAAATATAATTCTATTAAACCCAAATTGCTCCTTTATAAATTGAATATAAACAAAACAGCTTTCATGTAGTATCCAAAACAAACTCCTGGTACAGTTTCCAAAACATCACTCATAAAACTCACACTAGAGTCTCTGGATCTATACTTTGGTAAGTTTATGCCACTTGCGACTTCAACTTTTAAACAGAAACTGCAATAGCTTCTTCTTGGAGCTACCACATACCCGAGTTTCACTGTATTCAGTTCTAAGTAACACCTTAGGTCATTTCTGTTCTGGGACTGAAACCAATGCTTGGCTTGAAGGTAATTTTTATTATTATATCTACCATTCCCTTCTCTGGTGTACTGCCATCCTACTCCAAAGACTTCACAGGACTAATGTTACCCCAAAGTCAAAAGTAAAACTAAAACTCTCTATCACACAATGTTTTTCTCAAGCTGAGAGAAAGCACATTCCAGAACTAACAAACATTTGAGGACCAAGATAACCAGGTTTAGACTGGGACTAGATTTTGTGCACTAGTTTAGTGGACTTTAGATTGTTTTACAATCCAAATAAAAGTCTATTAGTGCACAAAATCTATTCACTCTATAGCTTCAAAACCTGTTCTTTAAAATAAATAATGATTACAGAAATAGTTACAAGTTAATAACCTGGTGTCATGTGATTTCTGACCTCATTCCCTGTATGAAAGGGAATGGAATCACTGAAGTTCAACAGCACAGCAATGCCTGTGTTCTGGGCACTCTTTTTGCTCCAGTTGCTGCTAAATATCTTGCAAGAAAATTGACACCACTTGAACAGTTGACAGTTTTCAATATAATGCAATATATAATTCTCCAATATGTGAACTAAAAGGAATCAAAATGAGGGAGGAAAATTTGTTTGGCTAAATTCCATTTGCTAATGATAGCCAAGTATAAAGAAATATTTTGACCCAATTAAAATGAGTCTGATAAATCCTTCTCTTTTCACCTGCAACCGTACCCATGGATCTCTTTTACTGTATTGCATCACTTCAGCAGCCTCACGAAAAAGCTATTTAATTTTCGATTTGTTTAAGTCAGAAAAATGTTGCTGGACAAAATAATAAGTTTGAGTTTGATTTATTGTTGTCACAAATATGGTGGATTTGAAGAAAACCCTCCAATACGTACATAGATAAATATTTAAACAGATCTGAAATTGGACATTTTTTCATTATTTTATCAGTATTCACTATTTTATCCCCTGACAAACATAAGATGGCACAACCTATAAAACTGCAGGCATTTAAAAACTTATATTTACATATCACCTTTCATGACATCAGAATGTCCCAAAGTGCTTTGAATAGTAAAAATATTTGTTTGAAGTATATTCATTTTTTATGATGGAAAACACAGTAGCTAACTTACACACGAAAAAAAAACCCAACTTCCCAAGCAATTAACTGATTATCTGTTCTAAGGATGTTTACTAAGGGATAAAAAATTGGCAGGATAGCAAGAATTCAAGGTTCATTCACATCCAGAGGTGACAAATACAGCCTCAACACAATGTCTCATCTTTACAATTAACTGGATAACAGAAAATTCGCTAGAACTTTTGGACACAGAAACCAGGAGCAGACGTAGGCTACTTGGCCCTTCTTGCCTGCTCTGCCATTGAACACGATCACACTGATCCTCTACCTCAAAAAGATATCCCTGCTTTCTCCCCATTAGCCTTGACGCCTTTGAAATCTAAAAAAAAGTTATCACTTTTTCTGAACATATTCAATGTCTTGGCCTCCAAGCCTTCTGAGGTAGCAAATTCCACTGGTTCACTACCCTTCAAGTGAAGAGATGTTTTTTCATTTCAGTCTTAAAGGGCCTGCCCTGCATCGTGAGACAGCGATGACTGGTTCTATATCCCAAAGCAGGGGAAAACATCCTCCCAAGACCTAGACAGTCCAGCTCTTTTGGATTTTTATACATTTCAATTAGATCCCTTCTCATTCTTTTAAACTCTACATCTAGTCAAACCAATCTCTCCTCTTTAGGGCAGACCTGCCATTCCTAAAATCAGTTTACTCTATTTTTGTTAAAAACTCCTGCAAGTTTAGCTGTTTCTCATATTTTAGCCCCGATTATACACCTAGTCCTACCCCAAACACTTAGACTTATATTAGCCTTCCTCACCTCTAAAAGGGAAACCACAGTCAGACATCAGCTTAAGCTTGCGACATCTTGCAACATTCAGTCTTCTAAGGTGACACGTGATTAAGGGGCAGCCGGACGCGCATGACAGGTGAGCCCGCACCACACATACGTGAAGCCATTGGTACGCGGCGTCAGGAGTCATAAGCAAGATGTATTATAAACGTCTTTCCGCTACACCGTTAACGTGAGCTTATTTTACGAAGAGAATATCTTCGGATTACAATAACATACCAAGGATCTAGGCTGTCTTCAGACCGAATTTTTTTGGGTCGTGTCCACAGCAGCCGGTCACTCCCGCAGCCCGACCTCCGACCAACGGTCCCGCACGTGAACCACTTCTGCGGCGGCTGCGCATCTAATGGCGTTCTGGGAGATGCGTCCAGTCCGGGACTACAAATCCCGTGCTGCACCGCAAGCTGGGTGCCGCATGCGCAGTGCCTGCTGGTGAACTTTGCTCGGACGCAATGGCAGCGTTGGTGAGGAGGATCATCAGCACCAGCAAGGCACCGGGGGCAATTGGTCCCTACAGGTAATCTCCCAAGAACGACGGGGTGAGATTAGCCCGTTTTAATTTTGAAACGGTGTTGGAGATTGACAGCTTGTGTAAGGCATTCAAGAGGGCATTGAATGATTATTTGCATAGCAATAGTGTGCAAGATATGGGGGTGGAAGGCAGGAGATCGGGACCTGGTAATGATGCTCGTTTTAAAAGAGCCCGTTCAGCCTCGACGGGCCGAACGGCCTCCTCCTGCGCTATAATAATTCTGTGTTTCGGTAAACACATGGTACTGCTGTCTTTCAGCAGTAGTTCCTTTTTAAAACCAAAGCTCTTGCATTATAACACTTTGGAAGTACTTAATTGGTGATACAATACCTTTTTGGGAGTTGAGAAAGGAGCGAGGTAAATGCAAATTCTAACTTTAAAACAAGTAGTTTTAAGCAGCTGCTGCATAGGGCAAAGTCATTTGAAGTGTTATTACACCTCCCCTCCGATCATATAACTGTTTAAACACTGTGACAGAAGGGAAGAACTACCATGTATTCTAAATGGTTCGAAAAGGCCTCCAGGTTGAAATGTTTTTACTTTTCCACTCGGCTTGTAATGAACAGAAATGTGTTCCAGACTCCATCGACAAGCAATGGGGCATATTTGATGCCACTGTTGTAAAACCAGATTCACAGCAGCTAATTAATGCATAGCAAAGTCTCTCGAATAGCATTGAGATAATTTTGTATTTAATAACTTCCAACTGTAGATCAGCCAATTAGTGCCTGAATTCTGTAATCTTAGCACAGTACTGTGTAACTTTCATACTCAAAGAGAAGTTGTTCCGTGGTCCAGATTTTATCGATTACGTAGTTTATTAGCCAGTCAAATCGAAGAACCATTACTGAGACATGCTGTCTGAAGCAGAATGTGAATAGGGATAATGCAACGTAAATCATTCACAAGAAGTGACAGAGAGGGAGATGAAATTAAGACTGACAAGGGGTTTTAAAAAAAAACTAAATAAATTCAGCAAAGAAAATGAAAAGCACTTTCAACATCTGGAAATGAAACTTGATTTTGATAAAACCGTCATAAGCAGTACAAGAAAATGTATGCCATGATTCTTGGCAGCAGTGTTGTTTTGACAATAGTACATTCCAAAGGTCACTTTCTTGCTGTAATATTAACCTGATGCTGAAAGCCTGAAGCGAGGACAAAATCGACGATGGATACAAAACTGGTTTATGTCTATACTCCCAAAGCTCCGATTAGACTTGGAGTTTACAGGTACCATAGGAAGCCATAAGATTAAGTTATTGGGTTTATATTGAACTAATCATCCCTCTTTAATGAGTGAACAGCCCTGTGCTCAGGTAGGACAATGGTAACTCTACCCTTATCTGGAGTTTACCATTTTTTATGAGTGTAATGTTGGAGTGGTCTGCTGTTTAACTTCTACACTACTGCGGGTTCTGCGCATGCCGATTTTTGAATTGAACTGAATTAACTTTTTATTGTCACATATACTCAATGAATATAGTGAAACGTTCATATGTCGCCACTTAGAGTGCCATCTTAGGTACAAATGTACCTAGGTACAGCTTCTTTAGTTACAATATTTTAAGCAATAGAGAAATAAAATGTCCAGCGTTGCAGAAATAGAAGTTAAGAACCACAGACCACGCTCGCACCTAGCTTCCACTCTGCACCGAGCCCTGGCTCTACATCGCTCTGGGCTCAGCGTCTAGGATAATGAAGCTGGGAGATTGTTTCAGACTGCCAAGCCGGGCTGAGGACACCACGCTGGGCTGGGGGCACGCCATTCTCGGAGGCCGCCCTAGGAGGTCCCTACAGTAGACTGATGAAGTTGCTACACCAGGCCACAGGTTGTCAGAATTCGGGAGTCACCAGAGGCTGGGACTTGTTGAGGGCCGGGAGAGAAGAAGTAAAAGAAACGCTAAGAGTAGGGGGAAAATAAAAGAAGAACAGGTGGAGCAGACGAGCTCCGGCTGGATCATCCTACTCCACTGCCATTTTTTTTATTATCTATCACAGGATGTGGGCATTGCCATCGAGGTCAGCATTTCTTTTCTTTTCCATTTCTGATTGCCCTTGAAGAGCGTGGTATTCCTGTTTAAGCCACTGCAATCCTTTGGGTGTAGGTGGTGTTAGAGATGGAGAACTGATTAGTGTGTATCGTGGTAAATTTTGTGTATTTTAGATTTCGGACTGAAATGCGAAAATGCTTTTAATTTATAAGTCAGAGAATGTATAATTTGTGAACCAGTTGTTCTGTGCATCCTGCAAGGAACTGAAAAGTACAGGAAGAGAGATTGGGAAAAATAGCAAATCTTGCCAAGCGCAAAGATCATCTCTGTGAACCCTGTGGAAAGGAGGCCATTGAACTGATCTATGTGTCTGTTGCAATCATGGCAGCATGGTCACTGCATTAATCCCTGATTTCTCAAACACTTGCACTTGTTCAAATCATTTTATTTTTAATACACTCATGAGATGTAGGTGTTGTTAGCTGGGCTAGTATTTATTACCCACCCTAGTTGTTACTTGAATTGACTGGCTTGCTAGGCCATTTCAGAGGGTTGTTAGGAAAAGGTATTTGTGAACTAGATTGCTTTCCACAGCAATCGATGACAGTTACATGATTGCCATTAGTTGCCCTTGAGAAGGCCCCTGCTTGGAACCTCTGCTTCCTGTGTTATTCTATGGTGTGCTTTATGAATATATCCACTTTGTGTTTTGCAGCCAAGCAGTGGTGGTGGATCGAACCATGTACATTTCCGGTCAGCTGGGGTTGGATCCTGCAACTGGCCAGCTTGTAACTGGAGGAACAGCACAGGAAGCAAAGCAAGTAATGTCTTAACTTCATTAACAACAAAATCCCTGGCACACTCTCAGAATACTACAGCACCTATGGTGGTGTATTAGGTCCATCAAGTCTGTGCTCACTCCTTCAGAGAGCAAATCAGTTAGTTCCATTTTTCTGCAGTGTTTTTCTCCTCCACATATTTATCCATCGCCATTTTGAAAGCCATGATTAAATCTGTATGCACCAATAATGCACTCCAGACCATAACCACTTGTTACTTAAAAACATTTTTCATCATGTCACCTCTGGCCTTTTTGACAATCACCAGAAATCTGTGCCGTCTGGTTATTGCTTCTTCAGTCATCAGAAACCATTTCTCTTTATTTACTGTCACTAGACCCTTCACCTTAAATACCTCTATCAAATCTCCTCTAACCTTCCCTGCTTTAAAGAAAACAACCCTAGCTTCGCCAGACTTTCTGCATAATAGTGATCACTCATACCATTCTTGCAAATTTCTTCTCTACCCTGCTCAAAGCCTTCTCTTCCTTCCCAAAGCCCAAATTATGCACAACACAACATTCATATATAACTGTACAATAGCTCTGACTGCTTTTTATTGAATCATAGAATCCCTATGGCACAGAAGGCCCATCAAGTCATTCATTGTTGAATCATCTCAGAACTTTAACTTTGTAAACATCCCACTTCCCATTTTTTCCATTCTTTGGTTTTAATTGTATAAAATAACTTTTTGACCATGTTCTCCACCTGACTCATGGTTTCTGTGGATTTCACAATGAATGGTTCCAGTTTACACTGCCGCTGTTTGGATCAGTCACGTACTGATATTTGCCCATCTAGACTTGAACACTGGAGCAGTGATCATCAGAGGCGTTTGTGCATTTTTTGCTCAGTTACCCGACCTTCCCTACAGTAAGTTTTTATCATTCAGTGTTGACCATGTGAACTCGTCATAATGTTTGACACTCTTTTGCCGTAGTCCTTTAGCCAAAAGTCAGTTGCATCTTACTGCATTTGTGGATGCAAAAGTGAATCAGTTTTCACTGGACCTGCACAGCTAGAATTAACATCTGAGAATTATTTTCATGGTTCATGAAACATAGGTACATTTTCTCTTTGTCCTTTAAGAAGATGTGGGTGACTCTGAAAAGGCTAGCATTTGTTGAATCCTAATTGTCTCTAAACTGAATAGCTTGCTGGGCCATTCCAGAGGCCACTTAAGAATCAATTACATTGCTGCGGGTCCAGACTTGCATGTAGACCAGACAAGGTAAGGACAGCATATTTTCTGCCCTAACGGGCATTAGTAAACTAGATGGATTGTTACAAGAAACAGTTTATAGCTGCCACCATTACTGAGAATAGATTTATATTACAAATTCATAAATCCAGCTGCCATGGTGGGACTTGAATTCATGTCCCAGAACATATATCCATTCTGGATAACTAGTCCAATGACATTACCAGTACTCTACCATCTGCCCTTGATGAACCATTGTAATATGTGTGCATACAAGTCAGTATGCCCCAGTCTTTGAAGATATTTGCATGTTTGGGTGTGTAGATTGTGCTCCTAGTTATAAACCATAATCACAATACAAGACTTTAAAATCTTTGTGCACTTTGAAAAGTTGTAGCTACTTAAATGATTTGTAGTTTTAAATGGATCTGGTAGCAGATCCAAAGGTCCTCAACAGATCTGCATAGAATAGTAATGAAGAAATGCCTGACTATCAGATACTCCTTTGTAATGTGTTTTTTTTTGGCAGGCACTCATCAACATGGGAGAGATCCTAAAGGCTGCCAACTGTAACTACAATAATGGTATGGTATTTCTCCTTTTGGTGCACCAGGAGACTTTTGTATCTTAAGTCAGGAAGAAAAACAACCTGGAATGAAAAGTCTAATGATGACAACATTGCTGATTGTCAGAAAGACTCATCTGGTTCACTAATGCCCTTTAGGGAAGGAAACTGCCGTCCTTACCTGGTCTGGCCTACATGTGACTCCAGACCCACAGCAATGTGGTTGACTCTTAACTGCCCTCAGGGCAGTTAGGGATGGGCAATAAATGCTGGCCCAGCCAGCAATACCCTCATCCCATGAATGAATAAAAGAAAGTTAATGTTTAAGATCAGAACTGAAAGGCCATCAACTTGATTTGTTTCTCTCTCTGCAATGCTACCTCTGTATGCTGCTGACATTTTCTGTTTTAATTTAAATGTGCTTAATTGAATAATGTTCTCTGTAATGGCAGTAACTAAATCGAGCCAAAAATATTACTTAAGCTATGCTTTAGGAAAACAAACATCCTAAAGAAATTGCATAAAACTTTGACTTGTTGTCTTAGATTTATATTGAGCACTTACTGACAATTTCTTTTTAATTTATATCCTAGTCGTAAAAACAACAGTTTTGCTGGCAGACATCAATGACTTCAACAGTGTTAACGAGGTTTACAAGCAATGTGAGTATACATCTCATGGTTGTATATCTTTATTGCAATGCAAGCATAAGAACAGAAGGTCTAGGAGTAGACTATTTGCATTCTCAAGCTTGTTCCTGCTAATAAGATGAGGTTAAACTTCTACCTCCACTTCACTTTGCTGTATATTCTTCTATTCTTTGATTTCATTAACATCCAAAAGTTGATCATACTCAACCTTGAATGGGCTCAGTGACTGATCTCTGACAATCCTCTGAGGTAGAATGTTTCAAAAATTCTCACCTCGCTGAGTGAAGAAACTTATCCTCCACTCAGTCCAAAGTGCTGACTTCTTACTTTGAGACTCTGATCTCTAGTTCTAAATTGTTGAGCCAGGGGAAACATCTACCTTGTCAATCACCTGAAGAATTTTATTCTCAATGAGATTGTCCCTCTTCCATCTGAATTCTAAAGATGTGGTCCACGCTATTCCATGAAATTAGTTTAGTGCATCCTTCCTGCACTCCCTGTTGAGACAAGTATAGATCTCATATTTATACACTGGTGGTGATGGGGAATTTATAATTCTCTGAATTATGATCCATGCCAGTGAATGTTGAATTGCTACTTTGGCAATGCTATTTAGCTGCAGTACTGAAAGTCTTTCCAACCAATCTCTGTCATAGGACCTCAGTTTAAGTTGTTTTGATTTATGTAAAGCACATTTGCTGTTCATGATCAAGACATTTGTCTTTTACTTAACTAGGGAATGCTTGAAGTCAGCAATGTAGATACATTAAAGAGAAGGCTAAATGATGAAGGTGAGAACAGAAGGGCATGTGAACCATTATGATCCTAACTGATATTACTACTGAACTAGTCAGTTCCCAGAATGAAATCTGTCTTGATAGATCTTCTACTTAACGTGACAGTCTTTCAGTGAAACATTAAGCATAGAAGGATTGTAAGTTTTCTTATTCAAAAGAATGAAAATAAGTTAAAACGACCAAATTAACGAAATGTTGTTTGAAAGATTTCAAAACAAATGATAGTTTATCATTTAATCCCCAGTACCATGACTTTAAAATGACTCCAAACCAGATAAAGTTCTTTTTCCTATCAAAATCTGTCGGCTTGGCCCACTGCGTTTTCCTCTGTTCCTGTTCTATGAGCTGTAAAGTCCTGGTGTACACCCTCAGCTTGAAATCTTAAACTTTCTCAGCTTTAAATGTCCATGCAGGCTTCTAACCATACACTCCTTGTAAACTTGCTCGCTGAGCCAGTGGGTTCAGTTGCAAACATTTTTGTCCCCCTGCTAGGTAACATCAGTGTGCCTCTCGTGAAGCGTTGGTGTTCTGTCCCGCTTGTTATTTATATGCCTCAGTTTGTTGGGGTGTTTGGTCTCATTTCCAGTTTTGTTTCTCAGTGGTTTATACATAGGGTCTAATTCAATGTGTTTGTTGATGGAGTTCCGGTTAGAATACCAGGCCTCTAGCAATTCCCTGGCGTGTCTCTCTTTTGGCTTGTTTGATTATGGATGTGTTGTCCCAGTTAAATTTGTGTCCCTCTTTGTCTGTGTGTAGTGAAACAAGTGAGAATTGGTCGTGTCTCTTGGTGGCTAGTTGGTGTTTGTGTATCCGTATTGTCAGTTTTCTTCCAGTTTGACCTATGTAGTGTTTCTCACAGTCCTTGCGTGGTATTTTGTATATTACACTGGTTTTGGGTATGGGATCCTTTACATTCATCAGTAGCTGTCATAGGGTGTTTGTTGGTTTGTGGGCTACCCTGATACCTAGGGGTCTGAGTAATCTTGTGGTCATCTCTGAAATGTCCTTGATGTATGGTAGGGCGATTTAGTGAGTCTGGTCGTGTTGTGTCTTTCCTGTTGTGGACTGCCTCGGAGGTAACAGTGGCTTGGCGAGCATGTCTACCATGTCATCCACAGCCTGAGCTACAAACCTGCTTGAAAATTTTAAACATCTACGGGCGCAACGCTCTCAAACTGGCCCACAGATGGGAAACAAATGCCATTTGGCTAAGCGCAACCTGTGAATGACTATACTTCCTGCACAAATGCCTCAGAAAGCACGTACTGCCACAAAGCTTAAAATATACACCGCCTATCAACAATCTACAGGCATGAAGGACAGCTGAACAGAACAGACGCAGAATGATTAGGGTTATGATCAACGATACCCACAAACGCCTCCACAAATACAAACAGGGAAATTGTGCTTAAAACTCGGTACTCCAACGCAACCGACCTGGAATGCACATCCACACTGGAAGAAGCCATCAGCATACAACAACAAGAGACCAGAACAAAGTTTAAAAAATAGCCCTACAAGGGAAAAACGATCCAAAATCTCCCACATCAACGACACGGACAACACAGATTCATGGATTTAAAAACACCTCGGACCAATCACTTGCAGACACTGAGAAGACTGCCCTATTACATGGACTGAATTATAACTACAGAGACGCCAAAAAAAACTGACTTCCTGGCTGCACTTGAACTGACACTAAAGAGCAATGAACTCACGGAGGAAATGCAACAGACCATCAGACAGACGATAGTCCGGACACTGAGCAAAAAAGGTAAGTGGAACTCATTCAATACAGAGGAGAGGAAAGCCCTGGAAAGACTCAAGAAAGATAGGAACATTGTAATCTTACTAGCAGACAAAGGACACATGACAGTAATCCTCAGCAGAGCCCAATACATTGAGAAAGCTAACACACTACTAGCAGATACTGACACCTCCCAACAGATGGCGATAGACCCGACACCACAGTTCGGCAGAGACAACAAGGTGCAGAGCTGGATGAACACAGCAGGCCGAGCAGAAAGGCTGACGTTTTTCTGATGAAGGGTCTAAGCCCGAAACGACAGCCTTTCTGCTCCTATGATGCTGCTTGGCCTGCTGTGTTCATCCAGCTCTGCACCTTGTTGTCTCGGATTCTCCAGCATCTGCAGTTCCTGCTATCTCTGATTCAATTCACCACAGTTAGGCAACTGGATTGCAATGACCCTGAAGAGAAATTACACAACTCGGAAGATATCAGCAAAACAGGCTACCAAAAAATGAAGCCAGAGGGATCCAACACACACCGCTTCTATGGACTGCCTAACGAACATAAGCCAGGGGTCCCCCTCGGACCCATAGTCTCACTACCAGGCAGACCAACATAGACTTGCCAAAGAACTACAACAGAAATTGAAATATTTATTTGACAACACTACCCACTGCATCCACTCATCCCAAGAATTCCTCAACATCATTAAGGTCACCAGGATAGAAGAGGACGAGATGATATCCTTCGATGTACCAGTACTATTTACATCCATAAACATCGACCTAGCCAAACAGACAATTGCCACACTGTTGGACGAATCAAGTAGGCAGGTATCCCAGAACACCAACAACATCAATAAAGATACCACCATGAAACTACAAGACCTGTGCCTCACAACCCACTTCACCTTCAACGACGGCATACGCAAACAAATTAACGGAACACCAATGGCATTCCCAATATCAGGACTGATGGCAGAAGCAGTAGTATAGAGGTTAGAATGGACAGCACTTCCCACTGTACAACTCAAACTTTGGGTCTGAGGTGTAGATGACACCTTCGTGATTATCAAACGCACAAATCTAGAAGAAACCCACCGACGCATAAACAACATCCTCTGTGGAATAAAATTCACAAAAGAAGAAGAGAACAACACTCTTCCTGGACATAATGGTAGAACGCAAAAACAACAGGGAACTTCAGACCAACGTATATAGAAAGACCTTGCATACAGACCAGATACTCAACTACACTAGCAACCACCCCAACGCCCACAAACAGAGCTGCATCAGGACATTATTTAAACGAGCCACAACACGTTGCAGCAACCCGGAACTACGCAAAGCAGAACAGGAGCACTTGTACGGAATCTTCAAAAGGAATGGATACCCGAAAAGCACAATCTGCCGTTACCTCCGAGGAAGACACATGACTAGACTCACTAATCACCATCAAGGATATTTCAGAGATGACCACAAGACTACTCAGACCCCTAGGTATCAGAGTAGCCCACAAACCAACAACGACTCTGACAGCTACGGATGAACGTAAAGGATCCCAAAACCAGTGTAATATACAAAATACCGTGCAGGACTGTGAAACATTACATAGGCCAAACTGGAAGAAAACTGACAATACGGATACACCAACACCAACTAGCCACCAAGAGACACGACCAATTCTTGCTTGTCTCATTACACATGGACAAAGAGGGGCACAAATTCAACTGGGACAACACATCCATAATCACACAAGCCAAACAGAGACACGCCAGGGAATTGCTAGAGGCCTGGTCTTCTAACCAGAACTCCATCAACAAACACATTGAATTAGACCCTGTGTACAAACCACTGAGATATATGATCCAGAAGTGATACCAAACACCCCAACAAACTGAGGCATATAAATAACAAGTGGGACAGAACACCGACGCTTCACCGGAGGCGCACTGACGATGTTACCTAGCAGGGTGACGAAATGTTTGCAACTGAACCCACCAGCTTAGCAAGCATGTCTACAATCTCATCCACGATCCAAGCTCCAAATCTTCTCTAACTTCAAACACTCCTGTTCTGAAAGTTTTCACAAACTGCAACCCTGACATTGAGCCAACTTGTTACCTTAACTGCTCTGAACAAACTTAATATTCTAGGTGAAACTATTCTTGTGTGTACCTTCAACTAGGATTCCCTCAAACTGAATTCTGAACCTTTTTAACTAAATTTTTCAAACAAAAAACATACTCGGCTTCTGCTAAGCTAATATAATTATTTCTTCCTTGTCATGGATATTTACAAAATAGAATGAGGCCAATCTGCCCATCGTGTCCTGTCTGTCAACAAAGATCTGATGATACTAATCCCATTTTTCAGCTCTTGGTCCATATCCCTGGATGTTGTGGCAATCCACCACCCTTTCAAGCATCAAGATCCAGACTCCCACTACCCTCTGAATGAAACTACTCTTTTCAACTCTCTTCTTAGCTGTCTACCTCTTACCTTAAATCTATGTCCCTTGGTTATTGGTCCTCCTACTGATTGGGGGGGAGAAAAAGTACCTTCTCTTGCATTAAGACCACAATCTAAAACCAAACTTAGATTAACACTCCAGAAGGCCTGCTGTCTGGCACATACTAGTTTGAAATTGTGATTCTTTAAAAAAAGACTGACCGAAATTGTCAAACACCTACATGCCACCGATTTAAAATCCAGATTCTTTTCATTTAAAACAAACATCTTTCATCACATCATAAATGCTGGCATAGGGCATTTGGAGTTGAATGACCTGTGTTTGTTTGTTTTTTTTTGTCATACTTTTGTAAATAAACCTGTTCTTTCTTAGACTTTATGACGAACTTCCCAGCCAGAGCTGCCTATCAGGTTGCTGCATTGCCTCGGGTAAGCTGGTTTGGTTGTTTGTGACAACTGATAGCTTGTATTGACAAACTGACCCAAGACATTGTGGGAGGAATTGGGAAATGTTGGAAGATTGGAAAGAAAAGATAATCTGGACTAATGTTAATAATTGAGCAGCGTTTTAAAAGGCAAACAGTTGGTCTGTAAATTTTAAGGGATAAAATGCAAAGACACTGGAAACCTAATCTCTCTCAACACCTCAATTAACTTCCTGAATGGATCTCGCTAAACAAAAGTCCAGGTGATTTTGTGTTTATATTTTGGTCATGGCAAAATGCCATAATTATGAGATTAGTTTTGACAGTTTGCTGTGTTGAGATTTTGAATTGTCAAGCTCCCTGTCGATTCCAGTACAATAGCCATAAAGCTCCCAAATCTTTATTTCTCTGCAATTGGCTGCCTGTCACTTCATATTTTCAGTCTTTTAAAATTGTTTTTCACTTTTTTTTTGTCTTGTTCTTCCCAATTTCTAATAAGAAGTCAAGGTAATGTCCAAGTATACTTTTTTCTTTGCTCAACTGGCTCCCAATGTAATTACCAACAAATGCGGGTCAGCTGGTTGGTTTGTGATACTGTATGGGTTCCACTCCCATACCAGCTGAGGTTACCATAAAGGACTGTCCTTCTCAACTTCTTCCCTCGCCTGAGGTGTGAATGACCCTGAGGTGAAACCGACACCTTGCTCTCATGGTCTGATCAGGACAATAGGAAACTCTAATTACTTTTCTTTTACTTTTACCCAGAAGTATCTACTTGAAAGGAGTCCAAAACCACAGGCTATCTACAAAAGATTATTGTTTCTTTATTCTTTCATGGCATGGCTGGCCAGGCCAACATTTGTTGTTCTTCCTTAATTGTCCTTGAACGTGTGGCTTCCGTGGCCATTTCAGAGGGCAGTTAAGAGTTAGTGTTAGGTCCGGAGTCACACATAGGCCAGTCAAGGTAAGGACAGCACATTTTCCTTCCCTAAAGTATGTATTTTTGCAACAATCAGTCATCATGATCACTATTCCAGGGGCGAGCTTTTGATTCCAGATGTATTAGTTGAACTAAAGTTTCACCAGCTGATATGGGATTTGAACTTGATGTCCTTGAGAGCATCAGCCTGAGCTTCTCGATTTACTAGTCCATTGATATTACCACAATTCCCTACAATCACTAATAAATCTAATAGGGAACTCGGGAGAGACCTCAAAAGTGGTGAGAATGTGGAGCACACTTAGTACCAGGAGTAGCTGAGGTAAATAGCATAGATCCATTTAAGCTGAAGCTAGACACAAACAAAAGAGGTTATCCCAATTGGATGGGAGGAGACTTATGTGAAACATAAATCAGCACGGACATTTGTGTTTGAAATGACTTGTTTGTGTTGCAATTTCTGGGTGACTTGGCTTTTGTGATCCCATCAGCATGAGTGGGTTGCTCTGTTTCATGAATCCTTGTGGCTGGAACCATGTTTAGAGGTCAAGTATTTGCCTCCACTCTGAGTTTTGTTTTCTGCTTTCTTTGCAGGGAGGCAGAGTTGAGATTGAAGCTGTGGCTGTATTGGGACCTATTGTGGATGGGGCCTTGGACCAGAAATTGTGAAATGGCAACTGTCACCATGGATACATAAATGTAAAATCAGTTCAGTGATTTCCTTCTGTTTTAAAAAAAAAGTTAAACATCAATCTTGTATGGATCAATAATATTTTAAATCAGGCACACTTTTCAAAACAAAACTAATATTGTTTTTCAAACTTTAATCAGCCATGAAGAGTCATTATTTTTCGGCAGCTAATGATGCTTTATATCTAGTGATCAAAGTTTTTTTTGCATAATAAACAGAATGTGAAATTAAACATTGAGCTTGTTTGTTTACTGATGACTTGTTCTTCATTTTTTTTTTGAAAAGACTCTGGGCTGGCCTTGGCAGTTTTGAGAGCAATACTAGAGTGAGCTGTCAAATTGCAATCCAGTTGAGGTGGAGGTACACTTTCCTTTTGAGTGCTACTTTGAAGAGGAACTCGTCTTTTAATAGTTCTCCCTCATCCTTCCACGCACTGCCAGAAACAGAAAACTGGTCAGTCCACTTAATGCTTCTCTCATTTCTTTGGTGCAAATTGATATAATTTGAAAGTGTTGTTTGTTTTTTTTAATTGTTCGTTGGATGCCGATGTTGCTGTGGTCTTGAGCTGCATCCTTGAAACCACCACAGTCCTTGGGATGTAAGTACACCCACAGTGCTGTTGGGAAAGCAGTTCCAGGATTTTGGCAGTAAAGGAGTCATGATGCTGTGCCCCTAAGTCCAGATGGTGAGCGGCTTGGAGGGGAATTTGCTATTTCAATGCATTTGCTGTCCTTGACTTTCTGGGTGGGCAGGTCATGGGTTTGGAAAATACTGTCAAAAGACCTTCGGATGACTTACTACAGTACATTCTGTCAATGGTATGCACTGCTGCCAGTGCTGAAGGGCATCCGGTTGACAGTGGTAGATGGGGCGCTAATCAAGTGAGATGCTTTGTCATAGAATGTGTCAGATTTCATGACTGTTGTTGAAGCTCCATCCATCTGGACAAGTTGGGAGTATTTCATTGAACTCGTGACTTGTGCCCTTATGGAATCTGTAGACAATGGACAGGCATTGAGAAACCGGAAATGAGTCACTGGCTGCAAAATTCCTAGCCTCTGATCTGTTCTTGTCGCCATAGCCGTGTCTGTTCAGTTACCATTAGGAATTTGATAATAGGGGATTTGATGATGGTAATGCCATTAAATATGGGGGCCTACGGTTAGATTCTCTTGTTTGTAATATGGCAGGTTATGCCTTTGTGTGATATTCGGCATGTCTACTAGGACTCTTACCAATGTTTATAGATATACCATAGAAAGCATCCTAGACCCCAAGAAATTACAGAGTTGTGAATGCAGCCCAGTCCATCACACAAACCAACCTTCCTTCCATTGACTCCATCTACACTTCCCACTGCCTTGGGAAAGCAGCCAACATTATCAAAGACCCCTCCTAACCCATTTATACTCTCTTCCAAAGGTCTGAAGATATAAAAGTTTGAAAACACGTACCAACAAATTTAAGAACAGCTTCCTTCCAGCTGTTATCAGACTTTTATGAATGGACCACTCGTATAATTAGAGTTGATCTTTCTCTGCACCTTCCCTGTAGGTGTAACTATATTCTACATTCTGTTTTAGTACCCTGATGTACTTGTGTATGATTTGTCTGGATAGCACGAAAAACAAAACTTTTCACTGTATTTCGTACATGTGACAATAATAAATCAAATCAACACAAGTGCTACTTACCACTTACCAGCCCAAGCCTGGATGATGTCTGCAGTTCTGAAGAAGAATCATACTGGATTAGAAAAATTAACTGTTTCTCTGTCCACAGATGCTGCCAGATCTGCTGGATCCATGCAGCACTTCGTTTTTATTTCTTGATATTGTCTGGTCTTGCTACAAATTGACATGGGCTGCTTTCGTTTCTCAGGAGTCACAAATGGTTCTAATTTTCACACAGCTCATCAGTGGAAGGCATTGCTGAATCATTTGAAGTTGGTTGGCCGTAGGACATTATCCTGAGGAACAAGGGCTCTTCTGGTACAGTGGTAGTGTCCCTAAATCTATTCCTTCCAAACCCATGACCACTACCATCTAGAAAACCAAAGACTGCATATAGAAGGGAACACAACTATCTGCATGTTCCCTCTAAGCCATTCACCAGCCTGACTTGGAAATACATTGCTGTTCTATCATTGTCATTGGGTTAAAATTCTGGAATTCTCTCCCTAACAGCATTATGGGTCCACCTACTTATATGGTTAGCACAGGCTCATGAAAACAGCTCACCACCACCTTCTCAATGGCAAATGTAGACTGGCAATAAATGACACCCATGCCTCACAAGTGATTTTTTATTTTTAGAAAAATTGGTCTTGGACTGTGTTCCTGGTTTAGGATGGGTCAAGTTGCCCAAGGCTACTGTCCCTGACCCTGTCCAGTTGTCAATGGGATTGGGCTTAACAGTGATGTTTGCATGACCAAATAGCCTAGCAACAGCGCTATTATTAAGGGTTAAACCATGAAGCAAGGGAAATGTTCAACTATTTATCTCTCAAATCTGAATATATTTTCGACAATTTGGATTATCACAAGTTCATGTAATAGCTATTTACACTGCAATCCATTTTCCTTTGGTATGTTCAAACATGTCCTTGTAATTCATTCAGTTATTTTGAAGGACTTCAACGAGCAAACTTTGCTCCACTGATCATGAACCAGAGGTGAAACAGAATTACATAAATAAGGAAATGGGAAATGGCTTTCTAAGATAGAGTTTATACCCATAATAGTACCAGATAAGACTTAAGTAATAATGCCTTTATTAAGTGCATATGTATTTACTTCTGGCAAACTTGACACTAAGGATGAATTCCACCTCCCTGCCAAATGTGTGGGTGGAGATGTAGCTCTGGGATCCGGCTCATCAGTCACGCAAGGACCCACAGATCCCATGACCAGTGACATGGAATTTCCGCAGTGGACAATCATACTCGTTAGAGAGTGATTGCTAACAACAGCGGTTTGCTTCATTGCCTTGCATGTTCATTTTGCAGGACGTGGTACATCGGGAAGCCACAAGAAGTGTTGTGTTAAACTGCAATTAAATGAAGAATAAGCCACAAGAATACCCTGAATATTTTTAAAAGCTGTTGTATATTTCATATTCCGCAGTATTTAAACAATAAATCAAAATACAAATCGTTTCAAAGAAGTTTGTAGATACTGTGATGTCATCCAATTTCATTTTAATATTGGCTTTTCCCTGTTTAAACCTAGTTCATTATTCAATTGGATTATGGCTGATTTGTATCATTGATCAATCTACCCAGGTGTTCTATTACTTCTATTACCCTTGCCTTACAAAAATCTTATTGATATGTGTGTTTAAATGATATCCTTACGAACATCTTATGGGCTAGAATAGGAATATATTCATGATTGTGAATCCAATAACTTATAAAATTCTTATCTTTTTCCCTAACATAATTGTGTACATGGGAATATATATAACATTGCATTGCACAATGAAAAGACAATTTTGGTAAACCTCCTCAACCACCAGGCAGTACCAGTGCTGTGAACAATACTCCTTCAGCCCAACCTCACAACAGAAAAGATGCATGGTACATAGTTCTATGTGAAGTCATGGGCATGTACTTGTGCAGTGTGAGCAAATAAACAAATTTAAATCTCTAATTATGCTTACTGTACTAGTACACAAAACATTACCCAGATTGTCGCACTTCTATCACTTTTCAAGGTGATTGTGCAACACTATTGTGTCCTATTTTTGTTTCATTTGTTTTGCTGGCTTTCATATTGTGAATAAACACATGCATTAAATTCTTCCACCTGTAGGTCACAGTCCCAAGTTTGCAATTACACAGAGTGCCACATTCCAAATTCACTGGACCTAAAAGATAGTAAATCCGTAGTGAAACATACTGGCTCCCAAGAATGATTTGGTTACTACCTCTCATTTGTTGTGACATTAGTGGGCAGTCAATGGATATCATTAACACATCAAGTTATTCAGTCACAGGGATTGCATGGCTGTGGCTTGGCAAGTGATTTGTGTCGAAACCCCGAAATGAGCATTTGTTATTTCTGCAGAACTGCTGACACCTCTTGGATTCTCGTTAAGCACTTAAATTGTATGATAGGAAGCAACTGTACAGGTTCCAGGTGAGCAGAAATGTATCATCCAAAAACTGGAATAGCTAAGGTTCAATCTTCTTTACTTTCTGTCAATTAAGAGAAAAAAAAGAGTGACTTTAATTTGGACAAATGGACAACGGAAGCAAGCTATTAATTTATTACAGTTAAATAGTTGATTAAAACCTATGAATCTTCTTTACACTGTCCAGGGTACTATGGTTTTGAGGTCCTTGTGAAGGATGGATTTGAGTGGGAAATGGTTCAGGGTGTTTTCATATCAACGCCAATGAGGATGAAGAGAGCAAAGTATATTCTGCTTGTCAGCCTCCAATGTTCAATCTGCTTAAAAGTAGAATCCTAGGATCATCCTGCACAGAATGTGGCCATTTGGCCCATTGTGCCTGTGCCAGCTCTTCAAAAAGTTAGTTCCATCCCCTGGTCTTTTGCCATGGCCCCATGGTTTTCTCCCTTCCAAGTATTTGCTTGAAGGATAACAAATTCTGGAATCACACAATTCTCATGGCACAGAAGGAGACTGTTTCATCCACTGTGTTTTGCACTAGTTCTCTGATGAGCATTATGACATAATTAGAAATTGCTGGAAAAGCTCAGCAGGTCTGGCACCATCTATAAAGAGAAATCTGAGTTAACATTTTGGGGTCAAGTGATCCTTCCTCAGAAGTTCTAGGATTTCTCTCCACAGATGCTACCAGACCTGCTGAGCCTTTCCAGCAATTTCTCTTCTTGTCGCTGATATACAGCATCCGCTGTTATTTCAGTTTTTATTCATTATGACTTAGTGCTATTTGCCTGTCTTTTCCCCATACTCTTGCAGATTGTTTCTACTTAAATAATTATCTAATGCCCTCTTGAATGTGTTACAAACCAATCCAACAGATGAATTTGCTTGTAATTAGTATAAACAGTAATTACTTGATTTTCAACGTACTTATCTCTGTCACTTCAGAAGCCACAGTGTCATCTGTTTTCTCTTCGTTTGTCTCCACCTCCTCAAACGCAGGGTCAACATTTATCTCACTTTCCAACTTTTCTTCGTTCTTACCTGGAGACAGTAACCAAGTAATCTGAGTCAAATTGTACATGCACCACCCTGACACAT